AGAAAACGTCCCAGGGTTTGCTAGGGGTGCTGATAAGAGCAGACACCCCTACCATTCCCGGGGAGGCTCCATCTATTGGTGGGGAGCTGCACCTGCTGGAAACCGGGTCCAGCGTCCCAGAATCAACAAGATCATTTCTGAATATATGCCTGCCAGCATTGATTACCCTGGAAACAGGGGATTGACTGAGCAGGAGTGAGCGAGCATAAAGAGAAACTCTTCAACCCAGAGGCCTCTTCACCCTGCTGCTGGGCGCCTGACTAAACTCATCTACCTGGCCTCTTATCTCCCCTTTGTTGCAGCACAGCTTTTCTTAAACTGGGAACACTCTCTTGCTCTTTGTCCTGCGTCTCTCCCATACGCCCCCAGACCGTAACCGGGGAGGTCCCCCCTTTTCTGTCTACCGTGTCCAGTAACAGCATTGAGCAAGCTCTCTGTCATTTGCTGTCCCCTATCCCCTATCCTCCCTTGCCTGTAACTACTTCTTCCTTCCTTTTTCYTTTTTCATAATTATTTCTTTTTTGAGGGGAATCGACAGCAGAGAGCTTCTTCATCGTTGATGCGGCGCCAGTTTTCTACCATATTTCCTAGCTCCCTTGTCTCTCTGTCTWCCTACTTTCCTGACAAATGGCTACTGTTGAAAGGTGYACCCAGTCCCTCCCTGGTGGGGATTAGGGAGTTCAGTCGGCCTTGTTCACCTCCCCGTCGTGACTTTTACAGTAAACCTGCTCAAACCAGTCCATTCACCATCTCCCCTAATGACCTRTTAGGCCCATACCATACCATGACATATCCACAAGACAGTTGGAAGGCGGGGGAAAGAAGTCCAAGAAGTGTTCTGGGGGTTTTAGCGGGATCGAAGTGTCTACCCGGGTCCACTCATGAAACTGCGGGCTATAATCTCTTGTAAACTCCTCCTCCGGAGGACCCTCCCCAGAAACCAAGTGTTTTATGTGCTCGCCCTTCCACTCTACCTTGCCTATTCTCCCTCCCTCAGCACCCCCAAGCCAGGTTGAGCAAAAGTCTCTGATTTTTTGTCTGATATCGCATTGYCTGTGGAGGTGTTGGAGGCGTGCTTTTACTTCGTTCCATTTTGCCGTTATTTCTGTTTGGATTTGTTGTTGGACGCTCTCAGTAAATTCTGGGCCCTCTAATCGCGGCCCCTCCATTTCGAAAGTGCAGCGTCTCCTCCAAAGCGCAAGATCTCAATCATGATGATTGACGCAATTCTTCATTCACCCCGCAAGTTAACTTGGGCTTAGGCTTGTGATAGTGGATAGGATGTCTGACTCCGCAAGTTAACTTAGAGTGGAAACGAGAGTGGAAATGGGTCCTATGGTTGTAACCTATGGTCGGAAAATGGACAACTGTGGGCGGTGGACCCCGTCCTTTCCACCGTACTCTTACTGTTCCAGTCTTCGAGTGAGTGAGTTGAGTGAGAGGCCTGGTTACCATTCGCTACTGACTCGTTCTGCAGACAAGATAAATGTACTTCTTCTTCTTCTTCTTCTTCTTCTTCTTCTTCTTCTTCTTCTTCTTCTTCTACTTCTTCTTCTTCTTCTTCTTTTTGCCTACCCCCCCCCCGCTAACTGTACTATATGAGCGATCTACTTCAAGTTGCCAGCAAGAAAATGGCAGCAATTCATTGGAGAAAAGATATATATTTCTTTTTATTTCTTTCCGTTCTTGAAACAAGTGTTGTGGCATCAGGTTGAAGGCAAAAAAAAAAACTTACGTCGGCAGGTCTGTCGCCGGGCAAGTTTTTTGAATGGGCAAAAAAGAAAACATAAAACCGCAGTGTGCACCACGATCCCCCGCAGAACGAGAGTGAATCTTCCTCTAGAACAAGGAAAGATACATCGCCATGATTTTTGTCTTTTTTTGTGCATTTCCCCACGGTCTCCAAACTAGATGACCTCTTGAAAATTTTCATGTGTCTAGCGTAGTGCAACGAGGCCCCTAAACATTGAAAAGCAAAAGAAGAATGCAAAAACGAAAAGACAAAGGGCCTCGCTACACTACGCTAGACACATGAAAATTTTCAAGAGGTGGTCTAGTGCTGTCAGACACCTGGATTGGAATAGAGTGCTGTCTTCGCTGCACTTAGGACCTCGTTCCACTACTCTCCATCCGCCACGCATGGCGGATGCGACTTCGTTCCACTGCATGGCCAATAGCCACGAAATGGACTCTGTCAGCATCTGGGTGTGAAATCACTTGGCGATCTGCCGCTAAGGCTTTCCATTTTCCCTGCCTGCAACGGCCCTTCGTGGAGGCTCTACTCCTCACCCCTCCACGAAATCCTTCTTGTGGCCATTGCCCCTGACACAGCCGTCCTGACAGTCGACCTGCGTTGTCCCCTTGTGTTGGCAAGTTTTCGATGCACCTGGAGTGATTTGCAGTCCGAGTACATGGTGAAGAGAAGGCCGCCACCGTTCCATTAGCTCTCCATCCGCCACAGTCCGGGGAGCAGGCCGGGACAGCAACCACAGCGTATGTGGCGGCGGCGGCGATGTAATGGAACCAAGAGCTGACGTCCGCCAGAAAAATGCACTTTTCGGCCTCGCCGAGTCTTGCCACTGTTTGTGGCGGATGGCGAGTAGTGGAACGAGGCCCTTAGGGCCTCCCCCCACAGGCTGTCGAAATGTGCAAAACGAGAATGAACTTCCCACTAGAACATGGCCAGATGCACCTGGCACATTTTTGTCGTCTTCACGTTCCGAAAGCTTGTGTGGCTCCACACCAATGTCGAAACATGGCTAGATTCGACATATGTCAGGAAATTCTCGACATTCCCTCTTTCGACAGAAAACCCCTCTTCGCCACACAACATGTCGAAGTGAAGAACTCACAAGTCCTGTGMACAAAAGAGACAAACTGGGGTGAAGATAGGACATTGTCAAGCGTTGGTGCGTTCTCTTTTTCGACATTCGGGCAAGAATTTGACATCCCATCCGAGGACTGTTGAAAATGTGCAAGTTGCAGGCGGGGGCGAGGAGAAAATGTCCAGAACGCAGTTTTCAACATTGGTGTGGCGTGGCGAGACCCTAAGGGCCTTGCCACACAGCCTGTCGAAACGCGAAAACGACAAAAATGTGGCAGGTGCATCTGGCCATGTTCTAGCATGAAGTTCATTCTCGTTTTGTGGCGAGGCCCTTACTCCGGACTCTCGACTCTCGTGAGCACTCTCGACTGTAGGACAGACACTACACGACAGGGCAGCGACGATTTGTCCACCGAGACCGGAGGCCAACTCTTAACTCTCGAATTTGCAAACCGCATGAAGGGACCCATCGGCCTCGTTTGAAAAAACAGCTCCTGCAGGTGGGGACTGTGGAAACTTCAAGAGAGGCTCTTCCGATGGGCCATTTCTGCCAATTGTGACACCTCTTGAAGCGCCAGACCAAGAGCAATTTTCCACAGTTTAGTGCAGCTATGACGCACTCTGGACGTTTTCGAGAGTGAATCTGACAGCTCTTGAATAGAAATCCAGGACGCGGCATCAAGAGTTAGTGCAGCGGTGATGAACTGAGTCTGACACTCTTGATTTTTCAAGATTCAAGAGTAGTGCAGCGAGGCCCAAAATTTATAGGCCCTGGCTCCACCAAATGTGCAAAAAGAGAGTGAGTGAATCTACCGCTAGAACATGGAAAGATGCACGAGCATGGTTTGTCTTTTGTGCATACTAGAGACTCTAGAGAAAGTAGTGGAGTGAGGGCCATAAAATGGGAAACAGAACCGTTACTCCGTGCATGACCTTGCCTGACCCTTGCAAGTCCGTGGGCCTCGCCACACCACTGTCCAAACGAAAAACGTTCCAAATGCATGCTCCCACAGAAAGTGGCAAGATGCATCGGTTCCTATGCATAGCAACAGATGTATCTGGCCACTTTTTGGGTAAGATGCACTAGTGTTTTTTTCGTTTCGACAGTGGTGTGGCGTGGCGAGGCCCTGTGTCTTTGTTTGCCCCATTCGAAACTCGACCGTGACTGAGGGCATACTCACACGGAGACCAAAAGCCTCAAAAATTTGAGGCATTTGGTTCGTTTTTTTTTAGGCATTTGGTCCCCGCATGGTCACACGGGCGGACGTCGTCACACGGGGACCAAAAGCCTCAAAACTTTGAGGCATTTGGTTCGGGTTTTTTTAGGCATTTGGTCCCCGCGTGGTCGCACGGGTGGACCTCATCCAGAAAAGACGAAGTCGCGACCCTAACACTTCGCACTCAGGGCAAGTGCGCCCAGTCACACGCGGGAGGACCAAACAACAAGATAGATTTTTTTTTAGTTTTTTTTTCACCGTGTGGGCCTTCACTACAACGTAAATGTTCCTGGTCGCATTTTCAGTTGTTTGGCGGCCCGTCTTCTTCTTCTACGATTCTCTTCAATTCGCAAACATTGAAAAAAAAAAAGAACGAAAGGTAATTTGAGACCACCTCCGGAGGTGGTCTCAAAAAGGGTCCGCCCGCGGCCCCGCAGGCCGCTGACAGAAGGGTCACCGTTTGAGGCATGTGGGTAGCGAGCCTCTCCAGTATGACCCGAAAAACGACTCGAAATTTGGGATTTTGGGGCTTTTGGTCCTCATGTGAGTATGCCCTGAAACGCACTTGCCGCTTCCTTTTTCAATCCTTTTTTTGGGCCTTGCCACACCACTCTGAGACTCGAAACGTGCAAAATGAGAACGAACTTCCCGCTAGAACATGATCATGGCCAGATGCACCCTTCACATTTTTGTCGTTTTCACATTTCCAGAGTGGTGTGGCGAGGCGGTTTTCGACCATTCTTAGCTAGGTCAACAGATCTGTCATCATAATAATTGTGCCTCTGAAGTGAAGTCCCCTAAGGCTTGCCTCGTATCCAGTAAGAGGTGCGTGTGCAGGCCCACCCGCACCAACTGTAGTTACAGTCCACACACCAGAGGGGCAATGGTGTGCTTTGCACATACTCACAAAAGGATTTCCAACAACGCATTTGACCAAAATGGGAGCCAGATTCAGTCCAAAGTCTCTGACTAGTGCTAGCGTGTGTATGTGCCTTGCTGCTTTATTCTACTATTGTTAATTGGCACTGCTGTCCTCCTAGTAGGAGCCTGAGCTTGCACTGAGATACTAGTATTAGGAATAGGAAGAATGGGAGAAGGAAATAGACAAAGCAAACACTGTCCTTTTTACATGGTGATGATGGTGGTCATGACTCGTGATGCATCTGGCCGCCAGCCAAGCTGAGCGCCGGGTAGGGAGACATCTGGCCAGGAACCACTCGCTGTTCGATCTTGGGATGTTGTAACAGTTTTCTTTCAAGGAAAAACTCCTCCGACCCTTCGAGGAGGAGCAGTTGACAAAGTGTGGTTTTGTTCCAGCCTGAGGGACAAGGTCTCATCAAACTCCCAGGAGGTGCAGTTGTGTGGCTTGTGTTCCACGGACAAGGTCTCATCTGGACGGACGAAAAGAGAGAGAGAGAGAGAGAGAGAGAGA